ACCCTCTTTGGTGATCAGCTAGAAGTAGTTGAGAGCTTTAAGTACCTTGGGAGCTTTATCTTAGCTGGTGGGGGTGTTGGGGAGATCACATCACGAATAGCGAAAGCTAGAGAAGCTTTCGCCAACCTGCGACACTTGTGGCACTACCATGACATCCGACTGTCTCTTAAGGGAAGGGTGTACATCGCCGTAGTGTTCTGCTTTACGCTTGCGAGACTTGGAGCGGAGCGGAGGATGTTAATCGACTGTCCGTATTAGACCACCGATACCTTCGAAGCATTGCTCATCGGGTGAGCAATGACGAAATTTGTCGTCGTGTACTGGGTAGTGATAGTCGTTCTCCAACGAAAGAAATCGCTCTACATCGCCTCCAATGGCTCGGCCATGTTTCGCGTATGCTTGCCCATCGACTACCTCACCGTGCTCTTTGCACGTGCTGGGCAAAGTTGGAAAAAGCTTCGCGGCGGTCAAACCATGGCATGGCGTGGAAGTATGAAGGAGTTAGCCCCAGCACTGGCTTCGGTTGGTGCAGCTCGCCTTCCAGGCTAGTGCCCAAGGGATGAGGATTGTCGATGGCTAGAGACGCTGGGAGATATGGCTCAGAATAGATGTCAGTGGCGCGATTGCTGTGCGGTTTGTTTGGCGAAATCCCGTTCCCCATAACAAAAAAATTCTTAAAAAAATGTGAGGTGAAACTATAAAAAAACTCATTCATTCGTTCTCCATGTTCTCTGTTTTGCGCATTTCCATTTAATCTTTCTGTACCCCTCCATGACTTCATTATCATTGTTTTGCATTGGCATCATGTTTGTTCTCAAGCCAAGGGGGTGATATGATTCACTACTGGCAACCGATTCGGTGAACATTTCTTCTCCCCACCGGAATACGCCCTAGGCATCTTGTTATTCTCCCTCTGATCCATCCGTTGTTCATTCATTTTGATCTCTACCGGGTTAAATCTTTGCTTTTGCCTAATTTTTAATTCTAAAGGAAAATGATAAGAAAAGCCCCATCCCCCACTTCAATAAAGCGCTGAGCTTTTCGCATCTCATTTTTATACTCTGCTGTCGTGTAATTAGATTTTTGAAATCCCGTGCCCCATAAAAAACCGATCAACTAGAACAGACAAAAATATCAAAAAGTGTGCAATGAAACAAACAAAAAATTGTTATTCTTGTTATCCACTGTAACTGTTTTTACCTTCATTTAACTGTTCTGTATCTAGGTTCCTTCGTTATTTAATATTCTTGTTGCGTTATCTTCACGCTTGTTCCCATAAAGGGAGACAGCATTAGAAATCCCGGAATATCGGTTATCCAAAGCCATTGCCAACTGCTTTCTCGCGGCTTATCAAAGACTCACCGAGGACTAAGCCGTTCATTGTTCAACAGCTTAAGGATAAATTGCCTCAACAGTTCCTATCTTTTGTTCTATACCAGTTCACGTGCACTTGTAGTGCTCGATATATCGGATACACAACGAGGCATCTGTCCAAGAGAATATCTGAACATTGTTTGGCCGCTCTGCGAAAGGGAACAGTAAGAAGCTTGAACAGCTCAATCCTGCAACATTTGGTCGACAGTGGACACAAGATTGACACAAAAACAGCATTTACAAGTTTCTTCACTACACCAAAGGATAACATAAGAAGATTCTGACCATTGCAGAATCCATAGCAATTAGGATCATGAAGCCGGAGTTGTGCATGCAATGTAATCTGGTTCAGGCGCTGCTATTACCATGGCCATAAGAACAATTACCCAAATCTCTCTATGTGACATATTCTATTCTCTCACTCCCCTCACTCCTCCTCCTCCACATTCATTAGAGCCATACACATCCACCCACCGTTATATTTTAATCATTGACGCAGACATTATTGCGCATTTAAACTTGGGCATTCTTCCCTCCATTCTATTCATACGTTTTATCCTAAATACTTTTTCAGCCAGTGTTCAACTACCCGATGAATAGAATTCCATTCTCGTTTTAATCTTACTCGTGGCTTGCGTTTCTGATTGTGTGAATCTAATACAGATAACTTCGTTGAAACTTCATTTACATTTTCGCGGGTAAGAACATCATGTATCTGTCCCTTTCACTAAGTTACACATGGGGTTTTTGACACAGAATACTTAATTTGCGTTTATTCTGATGCTTCCCATTCTTATCACAGTTTACTTTCAGCCACCCACTATGGAGACTGTTGAACATCCGAGAGTTTATTTGGCTGATGCCATGAGGAAGGTGAATGCTTTATTAGACATCAACTTGGATGAGGATGTGCCGTCCATTCAAGCGGCCAACTGTTCCCTTCTGTTCCAGGTAAATTTGAATCCTCCTGAATGTGATCGTACTTGGCTACGCGTTTAGTCGAACACAGACACCAATTTTAACGACATAATTGCGTTCAAATCGGCCTTTGCACGTTCAGCTGAAGATGCTCGCGTTTATGCTCAGTTGAATACCATGCTGGAACAGGGACAAGAATATGCAATCATGCTGTATACCTGGCGATCGATATCTCGAGCACTGCCATTCGTAAGTTTTGTTAGCATTTTATGCAACGAACACCTCCCCCATCCAATCCGTCTCTTTTCATCTAGATTCGTTCCAATGAACAACCACATCGAATGGAAATCTATCAGAAGACCGTGGAGATTCTGGAACCGTACGCGAACAAGCTGAAAGAGTTTATGCATTTCCAAGTGAATTAATTTTCTTTTCTCATGGAATTTTCTCTATCCAGGACGCAGCTAGCGCGCGGTTTGTTGAAGAAGTCAAGCGCTTGGCCCATAAAGATCAGAAGAATTTTTTCGTTAATCAAGCCTATCTGATCACTTTGGGCAAAATGTTGAAAATGTTTGCACTTTTGGACGAGATGAAAAACATGAAAGCGAGCATGAAAAATGATTATTCCAACTATAAACGGTAACAAAAGCAATTAGGCTGACTTAGATTCTGAACCACCGGTAGGGCCACCCAATTCCTGCAACATCACGATCCCGCTTTGATGAAAGAATCGCAAGATGTGAGCATGTTTTTAGCGAAACAGAAAATCATTCGTGACACATTGAAAGAACGATTGAATGCCGTGGACGGATACGAAGACCTGCTCATTGAGATTATTCACAACAGTGCACAAATGTACGACAATAAGGTTTATGTGCTTCCGGCTGAAAAACATACCCATGTTATTGTAAGTTCCATTGATACGATTTATCATCCACTCATTCATTCTAAGGTCTTGGCGTTCTCTCTATACCTTCTGGATTCATCCCGAATCATTGATGGCAAACAAGTTGGCGTCAATTTGAACAAAATCGCTAAAAGACTGAACATTCCCAAATTGGATCGTATTTTGAAGGTAAATCGGGTGAGAAAATAATGTGATACAACTTTAGGAATGCGAGGTGGTAAATCTTTTTGGCGACATGAGTGTAGAACCTTTCTCCTATGTGCGACAGACAGCATCGTTCGATCCGTCCAAATGGCCCGAATGTATGAGTTCCCGAGTATCCAGTCAAGGTGCTTTGCTCATGCATATGCCTCGTTTTCGGTGAGTTTCCTTTTCGTATCAATGTGGAAATGGTTTTTGTGGTAAACCACAACGTGGTCTTAAGAACTGATAATGGATTGAATTTTGTCTGGGAAAACCGAAATTTTGCAGAATGGCATGAGTTCATCAAAGTCATTGCTGTTCTACTCCAGACACTAGGTCAATTTATTGTTGTGGTTGCATGGGAATCAAGCAAGAATATATCATATGTTCATGCGCAGTGTTTCTTCAATGCAAGGAGGAGTACTTTTTGTTCCACATCTCTTTACGTGATGAACACCAAACGAAGTAAACTCCATAGTCACGAGGACCTGCTGCTGTTAAGTCATAGAAACCGGCAGCTTGGCTTTGGAATGGCGAACGATATAAAGCCCCACTGAGTTAGGTGTTCTATTTACCCGGAGGATAGCAAAAATACCTAACAAGTTGTGTGCTCATGGTGGGATTTCGATCCCGGAACTTCGGTCCCGCAGCACACCGATGACAGCAACTTAAATCGGTCGATCACCATCACTCCAATGAAGCCTGTTCAAATTCGATTGCACCAGGGAACGCGTGGTCTATATAGACCATATTTCTCACGTGTCCAAGTTCAAATTGTCTGCCTAATAAATCCCGGTACAATAATTATCATAGCGACGAAGTCACTTTTTTCATGGGATGACTACTGTCGTGTTGTCTAGGCCAAAGCGAGTGAATTGGGGTACTTACGACTGGAGCCATGGACTCGCCAAAACCTGATCCTCAAGGTGGCGGGATGGTGTGCGAAAATCCCGATTCATTGGGGACTGGTATCCACTCCATCGAATCACACTCCTTGGGCTAAGTCGAACATCCAACGTCCAATACGCCTCGATACCTAATCGAGCTGGTGATCACTGCCAGAACCTGTACGGTGTGGTTGCAGTTTGTATTTCTCTTCTGGGTTGGTTCGGCATCAGGGTTTTTAACCAACTTCACTATGTGAGCAGTCGGTGATTCACCGATACGGTTATATCCCAACGGTTGGCTTCCAATCCTTTAACTTTGGTGGGGAAGCGTGTCCGTCACGTGAAGCCAGTGAATAGAACTACTCCATCAGAGACTCTTGATCGTGTATTGTATTTCGCGAGGTGAAAAAGAAGGTCAACCAGTCACTAACCAAGACACCCTCCATCGACAGTACTGGCAGTTTCGGAAAGTCATCACGACGAGACCACACCTTGGCGTGGTGTGATGGCTTGTGCACCTCTGTGACTCAACGCGCTACACAGGATGGCTTTATAAAGCCAGGAGATCTTATCATGCCTGGAAGGTCAATGGGTAGAGGTCAGACGAAGTTCAGTCTCCAGGTTGGGGGTTCACCTGGAATTTGGCGTTTCAGTCGGTGGAGGAGTAATCGATCCAAGTAAATGGGCCTCCACTTCGCCTCACCCGCTGCCTTTCGGTTAGGTTCTTGACAGAACTAAAGGCTTTGGTTGAGAACCCTAATGGTTCTCCTTAATGNCTCCACTGAACACTCAAACTAAAAATAATTTCATACTGCATCGGTCTTCGCGCAGGATAATCAGGATCGCGCTGCCCATTGCATCGAGCGCGGTGGGTAGTGATAAGTGGGCTAATACTCAGATATCCCAACCTTTGTTTCACTCTTTGTCTTCCGTTCCCAGCCCTCTCCCTTTACCCCTTCTACCGATCTGTAATAGTCCCTCAAGCAACTTGGATGTCGC